CCCCCCTTTTTTTTTTTGTCGGATTCAGTGTTCACTGGGAGTTGGGTGATGGAAAGCATACTGGGTCATTCGAGGTTTTTGTTTTGTAAGGGAAAAAAGACGCGGAGGGCGAACGCGGTTCCAATCTTCTCTGTTCATTCTACCGTTTCCGAACCTTTGTATACCATGGGTGCTCAGGTCATTCTCCCGTTTTCGTTTCCTTTTTTCTTGGTACATTGTAAAACCGCGTTACGAGACGCCATACGCTTTTGTATTTTTCCGTCTGTGTATAGATTACCAGCCCTTGTTTGCCTTCTCTCTCGTCTTGTTCTCTTTGTGCACCGGGCTGGGCCTGTGGCAGGAAAACAGGAGCAAAATAGACGAGCCGCCGCTCGAGATATTCTCGTCACAATCATCAGTTCTGTATCTGACGCTGCAGATTCACGTTTGCTTGAAATGGGAGGATTGCACATCCCCGTATTCTTATGTGACTTTCGCTATCATTTGGATGTCCGTAACGGTTGATTCGGCAGGGCGTCAGCACGCTCCAACCCAGACGTGATGCCAACGTTGAGGCTCGCCAGGTCGGGTTCCTGCGTCAAGACATCCCATACTGTGCACACCCCGCAGTCTCTATCCAGAAGACCTGGGCTTCGCAGGGCTGTTTTGTCCGGTCCGCCCAATCTAACATGCCGCAATGCCCACGTTGGCACATGTCTCTTTGTTTCGGCGCGTGCACGCACGGTGGGCCGTCGAGGTGTTTATATATCTCCTTCTTATGACGATCCGGGTCCTGACGTTCCTTGTATGATCGGCAGGCGATTGTAGATCCCTTGGCGGGCGGCCTGACAAAATCAACGGCAGGTGGGTTTGCATCTTGGCGTCTCTCCAGCCTGGATCCTCCCGGATTTCCCTGGCTTTCACAGTCGCAGGCCCTGCGTTTGCGGGGATGGATTTTACCCAACTCAGCCCTGATTGGTTTGAGCTGGGCCATTTGGGTTCTGCAGATAGCCGAACGTTGCCTTCCAAGGCGAAACGAAGGCACACATCGTCAGTGCAATATATCACTAGGCTCACACTTCCTTCCAGCAAAATCTCGTCTTCTTTTACGACGCGGCACTGCTGTCGTGTGATGGGCCCTTGGCAGTTGGATAAGGCGATCCTTCAAGTGCCACCTCCCGGCAATCTCTCTCTTCTGCAAGTCCGAGAGCCCTTCGAATAGATGAGTCGGTGTCGCCACGTTTTCTGTCGTGTCCATGTCCCGGCTTCACCCCCTTAAATGGGACCTGCTACGATCCTTAAACGGCGAGGGCAAGGGTTCTAGTGACGCCTTACTGAAGTTAGGCGAGTGCTAGCACAGGAGCTGTGGTGCGCTAGTGAGTCCGTCATACACCATAGCGTGGGAGCGGCGCATGGTTGCGGGAAAAGAAACGACGAAGAAAAAAGGGGGGGGAGAGGGTGACACCTGGTGGTGCTGTGCCACCAGTGAGGAAGGCTTGCGTATGGAGAGTGCACAGCAGGGTAGGGACGTCGCCATCTGGGACACGGGGAATTCAACCCATTCCTGAGCCGGCGGAACAGGCGGAAGACGGCAAAGCTATGATGACAACCAGTTTGGGGCGCACGCGTTGCAGTCTGACGAGAGACAAGAGGCTGATTCCCTCCCCTCCCGTGCGACTCGCAACCGCAGCCAATAACACGCAAAGGCAAGCCACAGGAAGCAGCACGGGCTGGGGCCAATTGGAGGGCATCATCCACGAATGCTCCGAAAAGAGGGTTTTCGGGTTGGCGTCGTCTCGTCGAAAGAAGAAGGTCGGGCCGTCGAAACCCCAGCCCTGCCCGTGTGTGGTTGCCGATTTCGACCGCCGCCGCCCGCCGAGGCTTGTTTGTCGATCATACTCCATTTCTGGAAAGTCAATTTTTATTATTGTTATTATTTTATTTCGTCTCCCATGAGCACGCAAGCCTTGGACCCTTGGTGCCCTGGAAAATATCCCTCCGCCGGGGCGGTGCCCGAGCCCGCCTTTTGGCCCAGAAGGGAGAGACGGTATGAAGGCGAAATGTTTTGAAACGGAATCTCCCTCAGGGCCCATTCATCCCTTGAACTTGTTTTGCCAAGGTGCTTACTGGCCCCTCCCTCCCTGTCGCCCAAATAGGGCTAGTTTTCGGGTGACAAATATATAAAATAAACCCCCCCCCCCAAAAAAAAACCATATATGGCAGCAGTTCGAGGGTTGCATGTGTTTGTGTGTTTGTGTGTGTGCGTGCGTGCGGCTGCCGTTCTTCTCTAGCCCGTCTTGGTGCGGCCACAGTTACTACACAGTCGATCGCTTCAAATCTGGACTAGCGTTGCGTGTGCTCCGACGTGCATCTCTGGTGACAACCCGCGTCGACGGGCCAGCTTCTTGTTCTAGGCCCGTGCTGGAAATGAAGGCGGTCAGGTCCCCTGATGCAACGGAACGCTGGGAATCGAGGCAGATCTGGAGACAGAGAGACAGAGAAGAGAGAGACCAAGATGGAACGAAACCAAGGCAGAGGATCTCTCTCGCATAGGCGGGAGAGCCAATGTGATCGCGGAGGCGCCCTCTCTCTCTTGTTTGCGAATCGCCGTTTCAAGTAGATGGGTGGGGCCTTGGGGTTCCTTTGACCCCCTTTTTTCCCTTTTTATTTTGTCAATTTGATGGTAGATGTGTTCATGTACATGTTCATGTACACTTCATATTCCTGTCCCCTCTTCGGGCTCTTCTCTCCAACCTCAGGTCGCATTCGGCAGAAGGATGTGGGAGTGCCATCCCTGGGCTTGCTGTCCAAATGGATGCAACCCCCCACCAGCAAAGCGGCGTCGAGAACAGTTGGGGCAGATGGAACCTCGTGAATGGAAACGAATGCAATCGTCCGATGCAAGGTCACCCACCAAGGGATGGCGACAGGATTCACGTAGCACAAGCAATGCTGGTCGATATTGACTTACTGGAGGATCAACGGCAGAGGCACAGCTGTTGCCGGATCAGATGCATGATTGATGTCTGGGACGCCGTCGTGGTGCCTGGCGCGCTCGTGGGTGTTGGGATATGACTTGACCTGTTGCAACCGCCATCCAGGGATCCATCCATGGTTGGCGCGCCCATCACACTCACAGGGAACCAACTCACAAGGGTTTCCGGCTGGTAGATGTGACGATTCGATTCAAAGACGCCGCCTGATCGGGACTGTATCCTGTCAGGTGCTGGCTGGGGCGAGGTGACATTCCCTCCGCTGGTGGCTGCCGCCATGGTGGACGGAAGGGAGAGCTAAAAGCCATGCGTGCGCGAGGCTGGGTTCGCCAACGGCATCTGAAATCACACACGGCAAGCCCGGCTCTCGTCTGCCATTCCATGGGTTCCAGCTCTCCAGCTCGGCACCGGCTGTTGTGCAGCGAGCGCACATCTGTCTAAGGCGGCCAAGTATGGGTGCACCCAACCACCCACACCCATGGCTCGGCCTGCATCTGATGGTGCCAGGCAGGAATCATCGGCCAGGCCTGAGGAAGCTCAGCAGGTCCCGCGCCGACCCGAAAAGGTCTGTGCCTGCCCCGACGTCTGTGGTCACAGCTCGCAAATCGCGAGTGCGACAACGTGCCTCGCCGACACGGTGATCGGAACCATGTCGATCAGTGGAGGTTTCGAGTGATTCGAGGGTCGAGGGTTTGAGCTGGCGCTGGAATTCTGTCCAGAGAGCTCGGCTCCTTCCAATGTCTTGGTCTGTCCCCAAAAGGGGGTCCCCTGGATCCCTGCCGGCCAGGAGTAGCACCACGCCACATGCCCCCCTCCTGCACCCCTGGCCCGGCCATTTTGTCCTCTTCTTTCTGGGCTTAGGGCGGATGATGGAGAATTCATGAGACTGTCGTGCGTGCTCGCTGCCAGGGCCAGGCTAGGTCCCTCGCAAGGAGGGCCCTCGCTAGTTCCCCTCTTGAACTCTGTGGGGCTGGGCTGGCTCTGGCACCTGGCATTTTTGGGTGAATTGAGCTTTGCTTGTCAGAGAAACCGGCCGACGCCCCAAACTTAAAAAAGAATAGGCCGGAAAAGGGGGCTCTGTTCCTCGGCTGCATACCGCGGCGGCCGCTGTTTACTGCACTCTCGACAAGCAGGTACAACCCAGTCGTCAATAGCAGTCCACGCCGTTGCCAGGACTGCGGGTACTTTCTGGCGTGTGTGTGCGTAGACCCTGGCGCGGCAGAGTAACGGAGAGGTGGAGGCCCTGGAAGAATACCTGTAGCGCTGTACCCACCCTGCGACTTGCTCCCCTGTCAGATTGGTGTGGCGGCCTTGGTGCTTGGTGGGTAGCACTCCAGCCTGCCCGCATCCGCTGCCCAGGCGGGCTCCTTCATTGATGTTGCTCTCCACTGCTGCCCGCACTCGACTCTCTCAGGTGAGCGGCACCAAGACTCCACCGCCTCTCCTTCCTGCAGCACCTCTGGCCTGGTGCTTTTTTTCTGCTTTCTTTTTTTCTCCTCCCCCACTGAGCGGTCGTGGCCCTGCCCAGCTAAGGCGGCATTGGACTGCTTGAAACAAAGGAGGAGGGCCAGACTTTCGTTATTTGCCGTCGTCCACCGCTTCACCTCGCTGCTCCACGTCCCCCGAGCCCACCCTCGCCGCCCAACACTAGAGCGCCTCGAGCTTCACGTTGCACACTGCACACTACCATTTGGCCCAGTCCAGTGGAACTTGTCTCTCTTGGTCGCCATTCGCCGAGGTCGACCGGCCGGCCGATACCTCTCGCTCCCGCACAACCCCCCTCTGCTCGAGGCCCTCGAGTTCACCACGATAGTCGGTAAGAAGATGGTTCCAACTCCCCCCAACTCTGCCTCTGTCAGACAGGACAGGCAAGGCGACAAGGCCTCGGCGCCAGCTTCGGCAGCAGAACAGCCGGTCAGCGTCGTCGCCTGCTGCCATAATCCTACAGCCTCAGACTGCAGCCATGTCCGGCCACACCCTAAGCATCTCTCTAATCCCTTGGGTCCCGCCGTCCAGCTAACACCACGCCAAGAAACCGGCCGAACCCGCCCATCGCGACCGCCAGAGCTGCCGCGCGCCCACCAAGAGACGGCCACTGCAACTCCTGAAACCGTGCGACTCGACGCTTTCCCGGCCGTCGAGCAATCGCGGTCGCCTCAACCCACGCCTGTCGCCCGCAGCACCCCCCGTGACTGAACGCTACCGCTGCTAGTACCGACCCTCGCCTCGCGCCGGTGCCCGCCTCTCCCTCCCGGCCTGCGCTTCCTCGATGCGGCTCCAGCATCAACCATCTCGCCGTCGATCCAATCTGCTCCTTGCAATCTCTCGTCCCTTCCTCGGGACACGTCCTCACTGAGCCTGCGCCCGCCGACCTCCCGCTCGTTCGAGCAGCTGAATTTTTGCAAATCCCTGGCTTGACGTGAAGGTCGACACTCCTATCCCATCGGTCATCGCGACCTGGCCTTGGGGCTTGACGCCTCTCTAGGTTTCCGCTACGATATACAAACGCAGCCATGGACGACTATCTTGATAGTCCTATGGACGCCGAGGATGTCTTCCCCTGCAAAGGCTGTGGAGAGATTCTCGAAGAGGGCAAGGCGTTCGAGCTGGGTACGTCCGTGTGTTGACTACACAATCATCCATACCCTTTTTGTCTTGAGCGCATATTTTCAGCCATCGAGCCATTAGACTGCGATCGCCTTCGGGTGTCGAGCCCTCCCCTCCCCACGATACCTTGTCATATTTTGGCACACGCTCTCTCTGGTCCCTCACTACCTCCTTGCTGCCCACATCCCCGACTCGAAGTGTTCGATCATGGGGCTCAAGGAGAGCGCCATGCAACATGTCCTGTCCAAGTTAACTCTGCTAACCAATCTTCAGCTGGCAACCGATGGCATCTCAACTGCTTCCGCTGCAACACGTGCGGCACGCTGCTGGACTCGGACGCAAACCTACTCCTCCTTGGCGATGGCTCCTTGATCTGCAACAACTGCACGTATAGCTGTAGTGCATGTGGGAACAAGATCGAGGACCTGGCTATCCTTACCGGCGATCAAGCCTTCTGCGCCACCTGCTTCCGCTGCCGGAACTGCAAGAGGAAAATCGAAAACCTGCGATATGCCCGAACCTCGCAGGGCATCTTTTGCATGAGCTGTCATGAGTCGTTAATGGCACGACGGCGAAAGAAATCGAAAGCAGCCGCGCAGGCCAAAGCGAGGGAGAAAGACGGCTCGCCCATGATAACAGACAAGTCACTTCCGGCCCTACCCCCCAGCGCGATCCCGCCGAATGCCTTCTCCAACGATCGAGTCTCGCCCGAGGACACAGACACGCCCACCGAGCTGTCACCCAGGCCCCGGACGACGCCTGGCTTCCCGTCCAAAAACGAAGCCGATTCTAGGAGCAACTCGCGAGCTGCTCTCTCTCCGGAGCCAGCGTCGGAGCCACCTGTGGCAAGGGACACCCATGGCCTGGCTCCCGCGAGCTATCGCAACAACCGCAACTCGTCCATGTTCCACGCACCCCCTGACCTTAGCGGCGGCGTCGATGGCGAAAGTTTCTTCATCCCCGTGGCCCTAGACCCGAGCCCAATGCCTCCCACATCCGACAAGCGCGCAAAGGACAAGGACTACTTTTCGGCGGCCGGGGGGACAGCCCCCGACCACAAGAAGTCCGACTCTCAAACGTCGACGCCCCACATCGGTCTCCAGGGCCGACATCCATCATCCGACTACGAAAACACCCCTCCAAAGATGCCGAGCCGCAAGCTTTCCAAGTCGTCGAGAGCAGGAAGAGATGGCCAGGTCAAGCACACCGCGGTTGCAGCAGACGACCATATGCGCAAGATGCCGACCAGTCGCACGGAGGAATTTAAGCTCCAGGAAGCACCAAAGAGCAAAAAGGCCATGAGCTCGCGGAGCAACTCGCAGTCTGGCCTTCTCATCGACAACAGTGGCAATGGGCTTGCGCAGAGGAAGAATGAAAGCCCTCAGTCCAACGAATCGCCGCAGAACAAGCTAGACCGGACCATCACGTCCAGGAGCTCGCCCGAGTCGCGCTACGGGGATGGGGATGATCCCAGACAGTCTATCGACTCCCTAGCTTCTAGTCGCACGGAGATGAGCTCCTCGAGGACAGTCCTAAGAAAGGAGCCGCCGCAGTCGAGTGGACATCGCAGTGGTGAGTCTCTCGGTCCTGGTGGGATGACGATCCGGGTAGTGAGTACTGACATTGGTGCAGTCAACGGTCTCCAAGAAACACCGCCAGGGCCTCCTCCTCGGCCACCACTACCCGAGAACAAGCTGAGCGACACATACATGCAGCCTCGTGCGCCCCCGCCGCCACCAGTATATGCTACCCCCAAGGAGGCCCAGACACCCCAACGCGGGGGCGACCCTTCCTCGCCCCAGCCAGGCCCCTCGCCCGCACTGCCCAAATGGAGCGCTACCGGTGACTTCAGTATGGATGAAGACATGGCCCGCATACTAGGGACGGACGAAGGATCTTCCTCCATCTTGCGTCGTGTCTCAAATGCTGTGAGACACGGCCGCAACAACAGCGTCGAGTCGGGCGCCACACCCAACACCGGGCGGACTGTTGGCCACGGTAGGAGCATGAGCGACGCGACGCGGGGGACGTCGTCTCCTAGATGGCCCAAGACTCCCATCGCGGAAGACCCGAATCAAGGTCAGGACATCAGCAGCCCAATCTCAGCCAACGGAGCGACTCAGGATGATCCGGCCTTCCTTAAGAGGCAACTTCGGCACTCTGAGAACAGGATAGCTGAGCTGGAGCGACGGTTCAGCGCTGGGGATGACCTGGTAAACCTGAACAAGAAGCTCATCGAGAAGAGGAAGACGGTGACGGTCCTTGACACGCAGGCTGAAATCATGGTGCGCGAACTCGAAGTGCTGGCCAAGGTGGTTGAGCGGGGCAAGCAGAACGGCCAGCCGGTCGACGTGAGGGAGCTGCAGGAGACGGTGGTCAAGGAGCTCAGGCAAAAGATCGAAAAGTACACGCAGTCGATGACGGCCACTATCGAGCAGCTGATTGCGGAGCGCGACCAACTGGTGGAAGAGAAGAACCGGGCCATGGCGGACAGGGACCGGGCCCTGCTCGAGTTCGAGCAGCTGTCGTCCAAGAACGCACAGCTGGCCGACATGAACAATGACCTCACCCACCAAATACAGGAGCGGTTCAAGTCGCAGGCATCGGACCTCAAGTCGCCCAACGGACTCGGCATCTACCCGAATCAGGTCCAGAAGGGCCCCAGCAACGCCATGAGCAACTTTGATTCGTCTAGCATACAAACAGGGGCCACTCTTGTGACGACTGACGTGGATGAGCCCATACTCGAGGGCCCGACCGTGGTGAACATCCGCAAGGGCCAGGTCAAGAAGTTCAACTGGAAGAAGGGATCCAAGACGGTGGCGCAGAACCTGACAAAGGGCATGAACCGCGCCGTGGGAGCCTTCCAGAACGAACGGGAGCGGGGAGGGCAGTACCAGGGTGGCCTGACGGCGGACAACATCGGCCTGCCGTACAACATGACGGTGGCCCAGGTCGAATTGCCAGCCACGCCTCTGGGACCTGTCGGCCCCAACGGGCCGCAGAACCGGCAACCCAGCAGCGACCACAACGCGCGGCCGTTCGGATTCTTTGGCAAGAATAAGCAGCAGCAGCAGCAGTCCATGGGCAAGTCGATGACCATGTCCAATGTGTCGACAGCAAGTTTGGCGGCCGAGCCGCCAAACGTGCTCTTTGGCTCGGACCTTGTCGAGCGGGCTGATTATGAGCGACGCCTGATCCCAAGTGTGGTGACGCGGTGCATAGAGGAGGTCGAGCTGCGCGGCATGGACATGGAGGGTATTTACCGCAAGACGGGCGGCAACTCGCAGGTGCGGACGCTGCAGGAGGGCTTCGACAAGAACGACGAGTTCGACATCTCGGATCCCGGTCTGGACATCACGGCGGTGACGAGCGTATTGAAGCAGTATTTCCGCAAGCTTCCGACTCCCCTTCTGACGTATGACGTGTACGAACGCGTCCTGGAGTCAAATAGTAAGTGCTTCTTGGTGGGGTTTGGGGTGAGAGTGTTGTTGAGCTTGTGGTTCTTTTGTTGCTAACACGTGTGTTTAGCCATTCCCAATGAGAAAGAAAGGTGTCACCACCTGCGGGCGACCTTCAACATGTTGCCGGAGCGCCATCGGCAATGCCTCGAGTTCTTGATGTTCCATCTCGCGAGAGTTGCAGCACGTGAGGCCGAGAACCTGGTAAGTTTGTGTGGCAAATCTCTGTCCACCTCCTGTCTTGTGATACATAGGTACACATGGGAGCATATTAGGCTAACCGCTTGCTTGTTTCACCGCAGATGCCTCCTAAAAATCTGGCCGTCGTTTTCGCGCCTACCATTATGCGGGACCACAGTCTCGAGAAGGACATGACAGATATGCACGCAAAGAACCTGGCGGTGCAGTTTGTGATAGAGAACAGCCACATCATATTTGCGGAGGACTGAGATAAGCTTTGTCCCATGTGTTATGCCTCTTTCTGTCCGTCTCCTATATTACATGCCGTTCCTCACGGTCCGTATCGACCCACCTTTGTATATAGCCCTTGTCATCCTCAACCCCTTTCTGAATTCTCTCTGGGAGCCTGCAGCATGCGTTGCAGCCGAAGCGTGGTTGCGCAAGAATTCCTAGCATGGTCTTTTTCTATACCTCGGCGTGTTTGTG